AAAAGTTATTTTTTTTATTTTACTTAAGATGACATGCTTAAACATATAAGGTGCTTTTCACTGAAAGTTCGACGTCTAACCGGAATAACAGATGAATATATTATATAACTGTTATATACTTCTTTTATCCAGACAAAAATATTAATACATTATTTTCGCTGTTTTACAGCGCTGTGACCAAATCGAATATAAGTAAATGAAAAATTATGTACATTTCTTTATCTCATCTAACAAAGCATGTGTGTTGATAACTAGCACGTAATTAATTAGTATTTTGAAACACAAAACAAGCAACGACTGTTTTAACTTTGGTGTAACCTTCACGTACTTAAGTCGCGGTAAGGAAGTAAACAGATTTTATTAAAACCATAATGGTAATTTCGTGACTGAGTAGGCTTAATGCAAAAATGAACTAATATGTTCCAGATCTTCTAGTCCTATTACAACTTGTTGGCCTAGATTAAATGATTTCAGCAAATATGCTTCCTTCATTCTCATATTTTAATTGACAGGCGATTCATTGGTTGCAGAAAAATGTAAAAATCCATGAAATAAAAGAGAGTAGGGTATAGACGGCAGTGTTAATTGTTGAACTTACCAGTTCAAAGGCAACAACTCTCGTACGTTAATACTGTCTAAGTGAGTTAATTCGAGGTGAAGATACAGCGATGATGTTACGCTTCCACATACAATATGGCAGTGTCTTGTCATAACGTAATGCCTGAAATGGCGCTGTTGCACTGTGTATTCTTCTAACTTACACCCGAATCATAATGTCGAATTACACACAATATATATATAAATATATGTATAAACTTTGAGCAAAATATGAAAAAAAAACTTCCTCCTCTGTAGAGAGAAATAAAATATTGTGTCAATCCATGATATGTGAGGATTTTTTGGCATATTCAGTGGGTTTATGAACAGGATAAAACAAAATACTCATTCAATTTTTTTTTTTTTTTTTTTTTTGGGGGGGGGGATGGTTTATCTATTATTACGTTTAACTCACTGTTTAGAATGCAAGAAGCAAAACATTGACCCTAGAGGGATCTATGCGCCCATCATTGCATGATCTTGTTCTTTATAAGCTGTATTTTTTCCATTGTTTTCTCTTCTTCTTTCCTCCATTTCTTTAACACTAAATTGCATGTTTCCAGAATATTGATAATAATATTTAACGGTCAAATTCAAGATGGTCTCCTGTTGTGATTTCTTTTCATCAGAAAAAATGAATTATGCGCAATTGACTGAGGGCCATACAAGTAGAACATGTTAATAAAATCTGAGAATGATCCATCCAGTACTTCTCAGACCTCATCGTCTGGTGATGGTGGGCTTAAAACATCGGACAGCTTTAAAAATTAGACACTTATCAAGTACAGGTGGGATAAGACCAGGTGTGGTCTCATTACCAGGAATAGTAAGTATACACATCTTTTAGGTAAATCTAGGTCAAATATAGATATTAATATTTACAAACCAATTTGAAGTCATGGCCATGATCATTAGACACCAAAAGTACAATTTCCATGTCACTGATGACCCTGCCTCAAACCTAAACGACGACAAAGGACCTTTACTTGTCACATAATGATACAACTACCTCTATGACGATACAGAAGATAGGTAGAATTTATAAGGAAATACTTCCTTGTCAGCAGAGACAGGTATCTTTCACTTTGTATCAAACAGAAATCAGAATGACTAAGGTCTGAACGGTATTATTACTTAAACTTTAGAATGTGTCAGCTATGAGTATCAGCTCATTGTGATCTAACTCAGACGTTACTCGTGTATTTTTCATTTTCTTTATATGTTTGTATTTGAACATTTGATTTGCACAATCGAATGTACATTTACAAACGAGAATAGAAAAAGTTTATACACTGTTTTTTTCTCTCGTTATCAGTCCGACAAATGGAACAAGACCTTGCCGCTCACGTCAGAATAGAATCCACGACCGAAGGGAGAGTACTGTCGCGGGCACACAAGAACTATTCTGATAAGGGTAAATAATTCGCATCATTGTGATTTTTGTGTCTTTTATTTATTTATTATTCCAATTTTTATCTTTTTTTGTTAATATGTTTCTCAGAGTTCCCATTGTATGGAGTTGAAATCTACAAGTTATAATATACCCTATAAAAGATTCCAAGGTTTGAAAGCACTTTGCAAGATATTTAGATTTGACAATATAGTTTTTAATCCGAAAATAACCTATGTACCAACAAACATTCAATGTGAGATATCAATTCTATCTCATTCAAATCCAACACATTTAATTCGTTCAGAGAGCTACACTAAAGAAATACTAACGGACTTCGTTTAGGAATTTAAGACACCTGCCATGACATCAAAATTATTCCAATAATCTAATGAAGAGACAGATATATATATCTATTTCATTAATATATAACACATCCAATTTGGCCTGCATAGGTGGGAAACTTGTGTGATATGACCGCCGGTAACAACGAGTATATGGACCCTTACAATATAATTTCATTGAAAAGATTTAACTCACTTGTACATAGCTGAAAGTTTCTCATTTGAAGACATCTTTGACAATCACTGACTGGCTCTGTTGATTTCCTAGCAACCGTAATATTATTTTCATCTGCCGGAAAAATCAATTGTCAATGCTAATCAACATGGCTGATTTCAAGTTAGTTTATGTTTTATACATGAGTAGTTCAAGTCGCACGATCTGTCCAGTTCATATCATTTATGTCATATTTCATTGAAATTACTTCTAATCCTGCTCAAAATATCAAATTGCATGAAGTTCCATGTATACATGTAAGTTGTTCTATCTAGACATCAAATGGTTGAGCCAACACAGAGAGTTCCAAAGATGAATATTTATGGTGACCGAGTTTGATGTTTATCAGAACACTCATATGATTTCCAATATTTTAAAAGTCTGGTTTTCCTACCCTCATTTTGAGGATGTGACTTTAGATTAACAGAAGACACTTACCATACCAGAATACCTGGTTGCCATTTATCTCATTACCCCTGCTTTCGTCTTCTTTGAGTTACAATTAGGTAACCCTTTGAACTCAATACTCATGATTTCAAATTTTAACAGGAGCTACACTAACCTTCAAATTAAAATTTCTATTTACTTGGTGATAGATATAAAAAAATTTCCAGGAATTCTTTGGTGGTTGGAAACATGATCCCATAGCTTTATAAAGAACTGTGTAGGAAATGATGACAGTACGTGCAGGTGACAAAGGCAGTGCCTATCCACTGTACCAATCTCTACTGCTTAAGAACAGAGTGAATAGGAAAAAATTATATATATAAAATTACATGTTTAAAAATACTCAAACACAGATTTTTACTTTGTTTTCTGTTTATTTGTCATCTCTGTAATTAAACATCTCCTTAAAACGCAAGCACCAAAGTAACCAATAGAATAATCTTTAAGGAGAATACTAGGCATACTGTATTTACAGCAAACTGATAAAGGTTGAACCTCCCTTCTCAACCATTAATTAAACATATAGAGGAATCTTTGTAGGGCAGTAATTACACTTCAGTAAATGTAATTCTTCATCCTGTTTAACACCAGGTACTAGCATTATGGAAACACATCTTCATAACTTGTTTGTTTTTTAATATTTCTGTATACTGTCAGTCAAACAAGATGCATGTAATACAAGCTTCACACTGACACACACTCCCTGCACACAAGATACATGTAATACAAGCTTCACACTGACACATACTCCCTGTCACACAAGATACATGTAATACAAGCTTCACACTGACAATCCCTCACACAATATACATGTAATACAAGCTTCACACTGACACACTCCCTCACACAATATATATGTAATACAAGCTTCACACTGACACATACTCCCTCACACAATATACATGTAATACAAGCTTCACACTGACACATACTCCCTGCGTACAATATACATGTAATACAAGCTTCACACTGACACATACTCCCTGTCACACAAGATACATGTAATACAAGCTTCACACTGACACATACTCCCTGTCACACAAGATACATGTAATACAAGCTTCACACTGACACATACTCCCTCACACAATATACATGTAATACAAGCTTCACACTGACACATACTCCCTCACACAATATACATGTAATACAAGCTTCACACTGACACATACTCCCTCACACAATATACATGTAATACAAGCTTCACACTGACACATACTCCCTGCACACAATATACATGTAATACAAGCTCCACACTGACACATACTCCCAGTCAAACAATATACATGTAATACAAGCTTCACACTGACACATACTCTCAGTCACACAAGATACATGTAATACAAGCTTCACACTGACACATACTCTCAGTCACACAAGATACATGTAATACAAGCTTCACACTGACACATACTCCCTGTCACACAAGATACATGTAATACAAGCTTCACACTGACACATACTCCCTTCACACAATATACATGTAATACAAGCTTCACACTGACACATACTCCCTGTCACACAAGATACATGTAATACAAGCTTCACACTGACACATACTCTCAGTCACACAATATACATGTAATACAAGCTTCACACTGACACATACTCCCTGCACACAATATACATGTAATACAAGCTTCACACTGACACATACTCCCTCACACAATATACATGTAATACAAGCTTCACACTGACACATACTCCCTCACACAATATCCCTCACACAATATATATGTAATACAAGCTTCACACTGACACATACTCCCTGCACACAATATACATGTAATACAAGCTTCACACTGACACATACTCCCTGCACACAATATACATGTAATACAAGCTTCACACTGACACATACTCCCTGTCACACAATATACATGTAATACAAGCTTCACACTGACACATACTCTCAGTCACACAATATACATGTAATACAAGCTTCACACTGACACATACTCACACAATATACCTTCACACAATATACATGACTCACACAATATGCATACAATATACATATAATACAAGCTTCACAATGACACATACTCCCTGCCACACAAGATATATGTAATACAAGCTTCACACTGACACATACTCCCTGTCACACAAGATACATATAATACAAGCTTCACAATGACACATACTCCCTGCACACAATATACATGTAATACAAGCTTCACACTGACACATACTCCCTGTCACACAATATACATGTAATACAAGCTTCAAACTGACACATACTCCCTGTCACACAATATACATACAATACAAGCTTCACACTGATACATACTCCCTGCCACACAAGATATATGTAATACAAGCTTCACACTGACACATACTCCCTCACACAAGATATATGTAATACAAGCTTCACACTGACACATACTCCCTGTCACACAAGAAACATGTAATACAAGCTTCACACTGACACATACTCCCTGTCACACAATATACATGTAATACAAGCTTCACACTGACACATACTCCCTGCCACACAATATACATGTAATACAAGCTTCACAATGACACATACTCCCTGTCACACAATATACATGTAATACAAGCTTCACACTGACACGTACTCCCTGCCACACAATATACATGTAATACAAGCTTCACACTGACACATACTCCCTGCACACAAGATACATGTAATACAAGCTTCACACTGACACATACTCCCTCACACAATATACATGTAATACAAGCTTCACACTGACACATACTCCCTGTCACACAATATACATGTAATACAAGCTTCACACTGACACATACTCCCTGTCACACAAGATACATGTAATACAAGCTTCACACTGACACATATTCTCAGTCACACAATATACATGTAATACAAGCTTCACACTGACACATACTCCCTGTCACACAAGAAACATGTAATACAAGCTTCACACTGACACATACTCCCTGTCACACAATATACATGTAATACAAGCTTCACACTGACACGTACTCCCTGCATACAATATACATGTAATACAAGCTTCACACTGACACATCCCTGCACACAAGATATATGTGATACAAGCTTCACACTGACACATACTCCCAGTCACACATGCCTTAAAAATTTCATGCTAACATGTAAAACCTGCTAAATCATAAACATTTGATTCATACTACACTTCAATTCCAGCTTTGTTATGTGATAATATTATAACAAGATCAACTGAATGTAGTTTCATTATTCACTGTGAACAAGAAGTAATGTCATACACTTTGGTATGCTTGATGTTTTCATTCTTCAATAATATGTCAAGGTTTGCCTGGTATTCTATTGACTTTGATTGCTAAGTTGAGAATTAAAAGATCCTAATTATCCAGATATCTATACACAAGATGATATCAGAACATTCCTTTCAATAGTCATATACATGTATATATGAATAATTATGTTTGAAAACCATCAGTTCCAACCATTGTTTGTCATTACAATTTAATACACAGTATCAAGGGCCCTGTCAACAGTGGGGTATACTCAATTTAACAGATCAGAAAATATATCAAAAGGCAGTGTAGAATACCAACATTACAGCCCGATAAAGCAAAAGAATATATATATATGTATGTGGAATGGGTCATTGGAAAAAAAGTCCTTTTATCTGTCTGCTCTCTCCCCAAATATTTACTGGTAAATTTACTACTGGAATAGCCTGTAGTTTTAGATGCTTTCTATCTGGGAGTAGTAGTGTACAAGTAATATAAACCTGAAGTAGAAACACTCATATTTATATATCTATATAAATTACATTCACAATGGAGTGTGTTCCAAAAACATGGATTATTTTCAGTCACAAAATGCATTATTAGATGTGTAATTTGGAAGAATTCAAAAATCTATCCATGTTCCAAAATTCAAAGAATTCCTTTATACAAATTATCATAGGTAATAAGAGAACTAAAGTATGGAGAGATTCCAAGCCCCATTTACATCTATATAGATCAGCCTTTACTCATGATGATATTCCAGGTATTGCAGATACCAGTAACAATCCTCCATTAAAAAGATACACTGTGAAGTATACAGGTGACAATTCAGATCTACTTTGGTCCTAACATTTTCTCTGGTCTAACCCACTCATCAAATTTGTCTTCAGGAACAAGTTCTAGTTGTAATGCAGCTTGTCTCAAAGTCAACCCTTCTTTGTGGGCTAATTTTGCAATCTGAGAAGCATTGTCGTATCCAATGTGTGGATTTAATGCTGTCACCAACATCAGAGATTCATTGAGGTTTTTGGTAAGTTTTTCCTCATTAGCAACAATGCCCACGATACAGTTTTTGGAGAAAGACAAGCAGGCATCGGCAATAAGTCTCACAGACTGTAACACATTCTTCACCATCATAGGCTTGAAAACATTCAATTCAAAATGGCCGTTACTTCCTCCTACTGTAACTGCGACCTGATTGCCCATCACTTGAGCGGCTACCATGGTTACTGCCTCACACTGGGTAGGATTCACTTTTCCTGAAATATAGCATTTGGTGAGTACACTTGATTTGTCTACATTAGAAGTATGTAACTAAATTTTGGAATATATTCTACACATCATACTTTGTTGTCATTTCTCCTAAAATGTTGTAAATATGTGCAGTTTATATAAAATTGAAAACACTTTAAACCTTGCTGATTTTGGTTACAGGATCTAACAATATTCTATTTTAGTCATAATTTGTAAGCAATTTGAAATCAATTAATTAGACTGAGCTATATGACTTTAATTTAAAGTTCAAAAACTGCCATAAATCATTTTAGCATCAATTTTTCGAAATGTGTAAACTCCTATCACAAATCCTTTTTCTTTTTTGATATATCTAACACTATCAATATCATTCAGAAAATGACTGTTTATAGCATTATTTAAATACCATGTTTTGTGATACAAAGTAGTATTGTCTATTACAGTAAGGGGGTAGTTCTTACCTGGCATAATACTACTGCCAGGTTCATTCTCGGGTAGGGTCAACTCTCCGATACCACATCGTGGTCCTGAACCAAGCATCCTGATGTCATTGGCAATCTTCATCAGACTGCACGCAACAGTGTTTAAGGCTCCATGGACCTCCACCAAGGCATCGTGAGCAGCCAAAGCCTCAAACTTATTTGGAGCCGTCACAAATGGTATTCCTACAAGATAAAAAGGATTTTTTTCTTTAGAATTAAAGGAAAACATATTGTATACATAAAATACTTCAGGAGATGTTTTCTTATATTCTATAACCAAGCTAAACTACACATAAATTACAATAAAGATACAAAACAGCAGTTTTGTTAAAGACGAGGTGGTTCTCACAGCACTTGACTGCAGTTATAATTTGCATATTTGGCATTAAGTAAGAGACAAAAAATTTCATTAAAATGTGAACATTTCAGTGAAAAACTAACTACATTTCAATAAAATTTCTTAATTGTAAACCCAGATTTCTGGTAATTGCAGACAATTTTTATCTCTAAAGTTATGTAATTTATTCTGATGGCATTGTATGGCTTCTTCCAAACACAAAGTTATAATGTATTTGATATATTTAAAAAAAAACACAACTGCAAAAAGCTGGGTATTAACATTTTATATCATAATGAGTTCTCTCACAAAATAAGAGCAAAACAAAAGATACCAATTCAATTGTACCAAACACTTTTTAAAATTGTACGATAGTACAGGGGAGATAACTGTTATAATATTGGATGAGACGAATTGTGTTAACTAACCAGTGTAAGATGCTACTTTCTCTGCCACACTCTCAGCAAAGCCTATGCGAGTATTTAGTCCAGTTCCTACAGCGGTACCACCTTAAGGAATACAATATCTATATAGTTACATTATATTCAATTCAACTAATATTATGTACCCAATACAAAACATGACTTATGACTATTACAAAATGGTTCAAAAACTTCAAAATCATTTCCAATACAACAGCATTTTCAAGTAAGTTAATTATGATGATTTTAATTACAACACACCATAAGCACATAAACTGTATTTGTACATATTCCATATCTGAATGCAGTATCATTTGATCTGATCAAATTGGTTTATTTCAAACATTTCTTGTAAACAAAATTTCATACCTGCTGCCAGTTTGTAAAGCCTTGGCAGAGTGTCCTTGACTCGCTCTATTCCAAACTCTATCTGCTGGACATAAGCACTAAATTCCTGTCCCAGGGTCAGCGGCGTGGCATCCTGCAATTATCACAATGTTCAATTTCCATTTTTGCTAGCAAACTAGATAATATGTATTTCACCTTTTTTAACCACACAGTACAGGTTGTTTTGTACACATAAGTTTTCCACATTTCATTTCTAACATTAATATCATTCTTAAATCATAAATCTGAATCAGCTTGTTCTTTGTACTAATATCTTTGTACAGAAGCCAATTGTCAACTGGATGTACCTTGAAACATAAGTAAAAACTCTTTTTTAATTAATGACATGATTCCAATATTGAATGTTTACCTGTAAATGTGTGCGCCCTATTTTGACAATTTTCTTTTCTGTAAATTCCTCACATTTTGCCGCTAAGGAAGCCCTTAACTTTTCCATCCCTGGCAACAGTCTATGGTTTATTTCCATGGCAACAGCTATGTGCATCGATGTAGGAAATGTGTCATTTGAACTCTGTATATGAAAAAGAAAGAGTCAGTCTTCCTCAACAAATGGTGATTTATCTTTTTCACAACTTTGATAGATTTTCACAATTTCAGCGACAAAACAAATGTCACAATAACATGTTGATATCTAATTTCAAAAAGTACAGCTTTAACTTCCTCTGGATCTCTAAGTGACGATTTGTGTTTTGGTTGTTTAGTGTTGTTTTATGTCTTAACAGCCAGGGTCATTCATGTGCCAGGATTGGGTGGTGAAGGAAATTCAAAAGTACCCAGAGAAAAACCACCGACCTCCAGCCACTACATAGCAAATGCCCAATACAGGCCACAAACCAAAGACACAGAGGTGGAAGGCAGCTAGTAATGAAGACCGGCAGACACCATAACCTCTCAGTCATTACCGCCCCTTCGGGTGAAGAAAATGCACCCAACATTTGCAGCTTCTGCTAGACACATGTATTCATTTTATCTTCAAGAAGTCTCAAACAGTACACAATTTTTTTCATCGAAGTACAAACCTGTAGAACTACATATTATCACATGACTTATATTCAAAAACATACTTATAACAACAGATCACAGAGGGATCTTAGTGCCCACCATTGTATCTGTATTTCCTCTTATTGATAAGAGATTTGAGCATTCCTTTGCAGAAATAGCGATTATAATCTTTACCTACCAAATCAAAAATGGCTGTCTGGAAGCCCTTTTGTTTCTTCTGATCAGTCCCAAAATCAAATGAGCACAAGAAAAGACCAAAGGGGACATAAGTATGAAATTTGAGAGACATCCATTTAGTACTTCTAAAGAAATAGCAACAACAATCTTTACACTAGGCAAAATCCAAGATAGCTGCCTGTCAACCATTTTGTTTTTCTGGTCAGTCCCAACTCAAACAGGCACAACTAGAGACCTAAAGGAACATTTACATGAAATTTGAGAAAGATCTACAGAAATAGTGATAACAAACTTTCGAAGTCAAAATCCCAGATTGCCACTTGGGCACAACTAGGGACTAAAGAGAACCTACACAAGAAATTTAAGAAAGATCCATCAAGTACTTCTCAAGAAACAGCGACAACAAAAATTGTTGACTGATGAACAACGGACAGACAGACAACGGACCATGGACCAGGGATGCTGAGTGAACCTACACAAGAAGATCCATCAAGTACTTCTCAAGAAACAGCGATAACAAAAATTGTTGACTGATGAACAACGGACAGACAGACAACGGACCATGGACCAGGGATGCTGAGTGATTTGAATAGACGCCCATCTGATGATGGTGGGCTAAAAAATGTCCAACATAATTCAATTCTAATAAACAACAAATTAGAAAATCTATTGCACAACAAAAAGTGAAAACCAGCTCCTCAGGACAGGTGGGCCTGATCAACCCAAGTTTGCCTGATCTTGCCAGCCAGAGATGGTCTGACCTCATCCAACCTGACCTGACACTGTTCAACCTAAATTGACCCAACTTAATCAATCTGAAATACCCCAGTTTTATCAGCACAAGATGGCCTGACCTGATCAATTTGTGAAGGCCTGTGCTGATCAACAAGAGATTGGCCTAAGCCAATGAAAGATTTCTCGACTTCAGTAACTAGAGACTGCCTGACCACATTAGCAAGATAATACCCAATCTCATCAACAGAGAGATGGCCTGACCTCATCATCCAGAGATTGCTTGACCTCAACCAAAGAGGTGACCTTGACCTGATCAGGGGCATATCATGGGTTGATAATTCCACTTGCCTAACATCACAGAATAGAAACCTTTTATCAGGAATTTTAGTATTGGATATAAAAATATAGTTCAGATGAGCAAAGTAAATGTATTATAAACTATTTGTATATCTCTAATCAATCTTATTATAAGAGAATCTTTATTCAGTCTATCCAAAGTAAATAAATAAGTTAATAAAGTGATATAATTACCTGGCTCATATTGACATGGTCATTGGGATGAACAGGAGACTTGCTGCCCAGCTGACCACCCATGATCTCTATTGCACGATTACTGATGACCTCATTCACATTCATGTTGGTCTGTGTACCAGATCCAGTCTGCCACACCACAAGAGGGAAGTGACTGTCTAGCTTCCCTTTCACCACCTACAGCATAGTCAAATCATCTGTGATAGGTTCTATTACTCAAGGTGAACAGCTCTAACCAAGAACACTGAAAGTATTGTCCTTATTTAAAAGTAGTAATTTTTTTTAAAAGAAAATACAAATTTCTATCTTACGTAATATCATTAAGGAATAAGTGTATCAGAATCCATATGAAATCAATCTGCCACCAATTCAAAACACAAACTGCTAAAACTTCTGTTAAGCAGCAGATGGAATATACTTTGCAGCTTCTTGGCATTGTATGTTTGCAATCAGTTATTGTGTTCCCAATACTAGTACCAAGGTTAAATATTACTTAAGTCACATGCAATATGCATATATACGTATGCCAATAAAACTAGATCAAGCAATCTAAGTACAAGTATTAATTTGGGGAAACTTGTCCCTATATTTACCTCTTCAGCAGCAATCATTATATTTTTAGCAATCACAGTGTCAAGGCCATACTCCTGATTCACCTCAGCAGCACATCTCTTCAGTACACCAAAGGCATGAATGATGGGGAGCTATAAAAAAAAACCTTCTAATACATCACATTGTACATGTAAAAGATATATCATCTTAGAAGAGTTGTTTTATAATCACATCTAACTTCTCCAATGACTGTTCTTGGAAACAGCAAAGATGATAGCATAACATTCAGTGACATTGTCATTCTTTATATGGGCCAACATAAATCTGGGCAAATGGTTCTATATATACAGTTGTCAAAGAAATAAGATTTGGTCAAGACAATTTCAGGTTCCTTACATGTATGATTGATATCCTTGCCATTCCCTGCCTGATAATATTCCAGACCAAATTTGGTTGAAATCTACACAGGCATTAAAAAGGAGTAGCCTTTTGGAGCATAATATTGTCTAACTTCCCCTTTTGGAGCCTGCCCCCAAGTTCCTAGGGGTCAAATCAACTTTCTGAATATAAGAAATGATTCTGCACTCTCCAGGATGTTTTGTACCATGTTTGGGTTAAATAAATTCAAGACTTAAAGAAGATCAGTGCTTTTCATCAAAATTATTGACGAAGTTCCCCATATGGGGCCCTGCTCCCAGGTCTCTAGTGGTCAAATCAACTTTCTGAATATAAGAAAAGATGACCCACCTGCAATATTCTTTCATGCCAAATTTGGTTGAAATCTTTATAGGCATTAAGAAGGAGTACATTTTGCAGCAAAATATTGCCTAATTTTCCCCTTTTGGGGTCCCACCCACAGTTCCTAGTAGTTGCATCAACTTTCTGTGAAATAATCCCCTATCCTCAGTGATGTTTTACACCAAATTTGGTTGAAATCCATTCAAGCATTGAAGAAGAGAGAGTAGCATTTTGAATCAAAATCATTGCATAACTTTCACTTTTGGTAACCGAAACCAAAGTCATTAGGAGTCATAACAAGTTTCTGAATTTAAGAAATCATTCACCACTCTCCATGATGTTTCAGACTTAATTTGGTTGACATACATTCAAGCATTAAGGAAAAGTAGCATTTTGAAGAAATAATTGCCTACCCTAACTGATGAACCGGGCCTAAGTTTGTTGAAATCCACCCTTGTAGAAAGTAGGACAAGGGTTTTAAAGCTAATTTTAGCACCTCCTTCTCCTTTGGGGCCCCATCCCTCTACCCCTAGAGCTTGAATAAAAATTCTGAATTTTACAAAGGATTAACTTCACCCTTCAGTCCGATGCCCTAAAAATGTATTTAAAATTACATTAACTTCTGTGATTAAATCTGCAACAGGCTTTGACAATTTTGCATTTGGCACTTCCATTTTCTTTGAAAAAGGCAATTTACAATATATTGTAACAACATCGAAAATTAATACATATGAATGTACAAACCGGCATCTGTTCACTTGGACCTCCTATGTCAAAGTTCATGAGTGATCTGGCAGTGTTGGCCCCATAGTATTTGTTGGAGGGCACTTCCAGCTTGCCAAAGCTGTCTGTCTCTATTCTGTGTGTTGCCTGAACAAGTAAAAGCAATAACCATTACATGTAATAGTAATAATCTAAAGGCTGTACTTGAAGCACTCTTAATCAAAATAAATTAATAAATACATGTTTAGTAAGAATTAATGTATAACAATAAATGGAAACTTTTGAAACAATTGTCTATTTTTAGATAGTATGCATGCAAAGGTTGACAACTTCAAAGGTTTAAAAAAAATATTTCCTTTCCCTTCAGAAATCAATATACATTTAATGCAAACTGTAAGTTAAAGAGAACTATGCAAGTGTTATATTAAGTCATGTGTTGCAATGAAATCTCCTGATATTCATTAAGTAATATCCAAGAGGTTAGATCACTGAGTTGCAGTTTATGCTTTGCTTTACAAAAAAGCAGAAAAAAAAATTGTTAAAAAAACATACTAAACTTGAAGCATTGTTACCAGATTTGTGTCTCAAGAAATAAAATAATATATATATCACATTAACACAAATATACTGGAAAAAAACTTTCTGTGTGGCTTTTACATTTTTCCCCTATAATCTGTAGCATGCAATCTTATATGAGCTAATTAACAAGTTTTTTTTAAACCTTCATTTCACAAGAAGATTAACAACAAGGTTATCTCTTTATAAAAAAAAAACAAAGTGGTGCACAATATAACCTACACCATCATTTGTATCAGTGTAAGGGTAGATTTCATCTTCATTAGCATTATAATCATCGTCCAGCCTATCCACTTTGTCCTCATCTGTCTCTCCATCATTATTATTGTTATTTCTGTTTAACACCATGTTGTAGTTATAGCTGTACAAGTTCTGGGCCGCTCCTTCCTCATCTGACTGAGGACTTGACCTGGAATCCTCTACAGACTCTTTGGGAACAGATTGGGAATGATACACATTCCACAATTCAGGATTATTCATTGCATTCTTGAAAAATCCATTGCTTGCCATTCCACTATATGTAAAATCAAACTGTGGGTTGTTGGCTTTGTTTCCATTTGAACACGGTCCAATTTTATGTCTTTTTCTAAAGCTCTCCAGCCAACCATTGGAAGCTTTGAATTCTGTTTTTCCTAACTGCTGAGCAATTTCTCTTGCCTTACACTGTAGCATTTTCCCTGTGACACATTTCACATTCTGTTGTTTTAAACGATGATACCATTCTAATGTCATAATGTTAATATCATCATTCTCTGTCCTAATAAATCGTCTCTTTCTGTCTGATCCTGGTGATATTTCATATGTCTCTTTAATTTCTTCTTTTCTTTTCAATATATTGTGCACTTGACTTTTACATATATTGAATTGTGCAGCAAGTTGTCGTTGACTCTTTCCGCTTCCTTCTGCATTGTTTATTATATCTACTTTAGTTTTTAGAGATAGTTCTCTCCTCTTTTTCACATCAGGAATATTACCAGTCATCATATACATTACATTCTGGGAATCCTGTCCTACCCCTGTTGTATTCATGGGAAATCCAACTGAGTTTGCAGATGATGATGGCACTTGAATATTGTCTGCCATTGAAACCAGAGAACTTGCCAGTTCATGAATTTGCGACTGCATTTGCGAATCTGACACGTTGTTGTCGAATCCAATATTGTTGAAACCCGAATCTTTTGCTCCAGTTTCCCAAGCGTTTTGGGAAGCATGAATAGGTGCTGTAGTTTGATTTGTTACTATTCCATCTTTAGTTGACGGAGTTGCCTGGGACATATACACCGGGTACGGAGGTGGCCTTTGGTTCGGGAAAACTGGTAGGGATGAAGAAGTTGATACAACTGTATTGCCAGTCATACTCTCTGTATTTCCGTGGTCTTGTATTGGGAAATCTGTATGTGATCTCTCGGTAACATGAAAGTCACTTTGTTCGGTTCTGTGAAAACGAGATTCTTGGTTGGTTGTACCAATCATAGCGAAATGTCCATTATCCTGCATGTTCCTCGTGATCGTCATGGTGGCATTGGCTTCCGTAAAATGTCTGGGAGATTCGGATTCGTTTCCAGCACTAGTTCCATATAAATTGTTTTGTAGAAAATCTCGACGAGGAAAATAAGTACTGTCTTTGTCTAAGTGGCCGGTTTCTACTCCAGATCCATTGTTGAACCTTCCACACGCAAAATCACAATCACTACCTCTCGGCTCCTGTTTTGGTTTTAGAAACGTCAGTGGTTCTTGTACCATGTTATGAACAGGTTGCACTGTCGACTTGTGTGGGTCCATGCTATTGTCAGTAATTTCGCGTGAACCTGGCGAACCATTTTGTGCTGGCGCAGGTGTGATTTCAGATTCCGCCTCCATTTTTGTTATGATAATAGCTACAACCTTTCCGGTTCCGGTCAATTCACTCCACGCACCTCAACATGTAACGTTTAAGTACAGACAGGGATGTGGACTTCCCCGGTACAGAAAACGATATAATGTACATGCATTGATTTTTAAAAATGTTTTAGAAAACTCTGAAAGCCAAAAAAATCCATAAAGGAAATAATACGAATAGACTTAAATGAGATATCATAAAATTTGCACTGTCATTGAATTTAATTTAAATTGAATTTAAAAGGATTTCCTTTACATTAAGGGAGAGTGGTATACAAAACAGGGTGATATTCCAGTTATAGATAGCATTAACATGGTGATTGTTCTCGAGAAAATAATGAAAATTGTCGTATTGGAGGATTTTTTCCTATTTTTTTTTCAATAACCTCATACACTATCGCTTAGGTAATGTATTTTATATATATGTATATGTAAAAGCATTATCGGTTCCGATCGACTGTCAGTCAAGCTTATACAATCGTGCTGATATAAACGATATCAGAATGATGATAAGAAGTTATCATTATTAATCAGCACTACTGAATTTTGTAAATATTTGTGCGGAAAAAGGTAAAAATGTATCACTAATATATGGATATTTACTGATAAATTCCAAAACTAAAACGGTAATATATAAATGAATCCTTATACACTGTATGCCTAAGTCTCATGGTTTGTGTTTTTTAGCATTCATTGGTTTACGTCCATGGAATGGGGACCACAGGGACTCGGCCCGAATATTCAACACACGGTCCATACGAATGTATCATAGCAACAGAGCGGCCAGATTAGATATGCAAAACAAGTTCGGAGGGCACCACCAGGGATCCATCATTAGATATAAAAGCCAACTCAGGACATCTTAATAATATTTTAGCGAAATAACTTTCACTATAAAGCTAGCGATGATAGACATTGGCAGGGGTGCAGACATCTGCAATTCTAGATCTGCGTCTGGTATGTGACTGAATGTCCTACACTATTCAGGGTCTTCATTTACACACCTTGCGTGAATACGCACATCCTTTCTGATGTTATTCGTGAGATTGAAAATAAAACGAAATAACATGTTTAAAGTATGGCATGTGTTTTGTTTGTATTCTAAGGACTTAAGCGTTGGATAATCGATCGCGGAACTAGTCTTATATATAAATACAGCAAATGAACTTGACTGTTCTACGTGAACGGTGTCTAGTTATATAAGTGGTGCCAATTACTTGTTCCGGCCGTTTACAGCAATTTTTATCGTACTTTTAACCTGTATGGCTTCATTTTCCATGGTTCAAATCATTGATCAATTTTCGTTCCAGAAAAACACTTTTATTCTAGAACAATTCGTTTTAATCATATCAGCAAATATTTAGTACATGTAAACATATATATTACATGTAACTAGTAAATTTAGCATAAAGTTATCCCTCATACGTAATACATTTAAGTGACAGGGGGAATTTGAAAGCACTTGGCTTGGATTATTTCTAGATTGCATTACAATAAATAGTCGATTTCAAAATTAATAATGACGATAGTAATTCTATATATGTAATAAACTATTAATCAGAGTTTCTGACGGTAAAGGCAAGTATGCCAGTAAATATTGCAACGCATTCAGACTATTATTAGTCTAGTGGTTATTGATGGGACTTGTCAACTAATTTCTGTAAATACTTGACATAGACTCTCAACAATCGATGCATATACATAAAACATCTACAATATGTATAACAGTATCTACTATGTGACCACGATATGATAGTAAGTCTAAATATTTGTTATACAATATGCATCTATAAGATCTACGTAAAGCATGCATACAATACTGAAAACTGTACATCAAAGTATTCAAAACATCTAACCTTATCGGAATATGTTTCAAACCGAGCCATTCCTGGTGTACAGATACCGCCAAGGTCGGAGGTTATTACACCGGGTAATATTTTACAGTAACACCTCTGTCTCATAAACAACCTGGCAAAGGGTCTCGTAAGCTGTAAATCAAATACGAAATGCTCGATTTGTTTGACATCAATTATGTTAGAAAGACGAACAACTAGGAAATACATAATATATTCACCATATTTCTTCGACGTCTACTTAATGGCGATTCCAGAAATAAATCCCGACTAGATTGCCACCGTCCAAGACCGCATATGAACCAAGAAAGATAACTCTAGGATCAATACCGACAATTTCGTAAACATGAAAGCGCGCGTTTTTCAAATGACTCCATTGTCAAAATTATGTAGATGTCGCAAACGGCATTCTTGTAAATTGAAGTAGGCATAGGACCTCGGTATAGATATAGACTTTTCTACTACTGGTGATATCAATTGTTTTCTGGCCAGTGGCAATGTACGGTATCGTTTTTAAAATGTGACAATTTTTACCACCAGAGACGTATACAACACGTCTCTGTTACCACGAAGGGGAATATATAGATTTATGACTTCGGCCAAGGAGCAAAATAATGCCGATTTCAATAACATCGCTTTATTTTATTGTGCTTGCAAATAAATAGCTTTAGGTCTGGTGATCATTCAGAAAGCAGAGATTTCAAGAAGACGACGACGACGAAGGACAATGTACGCCTAGACCGTCATTGTGACCCAAATCAGGCCTTTTAATTCGTGAGAGTTAGTGTAAAATTTCCTGCAGCGGAGATCTCATATGACAGAAATGTTGATCATCAAGGTACAAACATGTTTCAAAATTTAGATTTTGTGAATAATTTCAATTCTAAGATTATGTTGATTGTAAGTGAGAATTTCATTTTCTACTTGTTTTCTTGCTCCACTGTTACAAAGATCATATGGACAGTTTTATGAATAATATAACAGATTTTAGTGTATTTAGCATCTTATTTATACAATGAATACAATACTAGTGCAATGATGACATTCAAAGCTTATGATAAAGATGCACATTTAACACGATCTGATAAATTGTTTTAAATATATCAGATACGTTGAAATCCAGCTCATGTTTGAAATGGTGAGAGCATTATAAACAAACTGGCACTATATACTGCGACGTCAAGAACGCTTTCAACAATAATAAAGTTCCACCACAAAGGCTACTAGAAAAAACTAGGGGATATGGGATCCGTTAAACATGGGCTTTCATCAGAAACATGAAACAGAAACCTCAACATATTTTTTTAGATCGTGTAGTGGAGTTCCCACGGAAGCGTGCTCTGACCCATTCTCTTCCTGATCAATTCATCTATAGTTTCTCATGAGGCGCCAGGTATTTCAAAGGATTATTTCTACTAATAGTGTCGAGTCTTAAAAAGACCAAAAAGTTGTATGATGCAGTTTAATTCATTGTTATCAAAAGTCACTATTCACATGTGGGTCTTTTGTACAATCTTAATGTTAGAAAGATGTGGTAAAGCCTTGTGATTCCATGTATGTCCCTTATGTATCTGTTGAAGCACATGGTAATGATGACGCATTTTATCAGTTTTGTTCGCAATATGCTTCCCCGGTTTATGCAATCTCACCATTTGTTGCTTGTTGTATGACTCCATGTATGCTTTGACCGTTTTTAGTATGTGTCTGATAATGATTTGTGAAGTGTATTATGGACGGGAGTGTTAGAAGTTTGCCCGATAGCATTACATCTCAACAGTTTCTTTGACATATACTCAAAGATGCATCACTTGGAGTCGATCCTTTCGGTTGTGACATCGTAGCTCAGGATGAAACAATTTCATATTATAATCAGTACTAAATTGTGTGTAAGGTCATTCTCACTGTTAGTAAAGGATATGTAAGTTGACAAGTATACAACACAGGGATTTTGCACAAATTCCTGACCCATGGACCATCATATGTATTATGTAGTGACAAAGAATGTAACTCCTGTAAAGGGAAATTTGAACATACTTCATTTTAAATTACCACCTTTGATATTCTAGGGGCCAAATATTACAATATAATACATATATGTGGTTCGTTGGTTTGGAATTTGTCCCAAATCTCGGTGATTTTTAAAACAATATCTTACAGTATATAAGGAATATTGTTGTGCCACTGCTCCTTATTTCAGTGGTGGAAATCAAAATCTTTTCGAAGAAAGGTCTATACATTTGAAGAAAGCCTTAAAGGGAGCATCTGAACTGTATCTAGAAATATAAGAAATTTGTGGGAGACATGATTTGAACTCTCTGAGACATATCGATAAAAAACATGACATTGGAATGCATGATGACAGTGTAGCAGTGGTGCTGTTCTTTAGATCTTCGGCAAAACAGATTTTCAACTTCTTCCTGGAGTGAACCTAAGTACGAAATTTGTCTGCCTAGTATGCAAGACATTTCAAAAAGTGAAGGAGACAAAATGTTTTGAGAAACCAATTTTTTTACTGCAAGTATTATATCAAAGCACTGCAAAGTTCACATGAAATTTGTATGTTTAACTGTTTTATTCTTTATTCTTATATTCATAAGTTTTTATTATCAATAATCATACATAGTGTATGTATTGCTACCTTGTCTTTCATTAATTACTGAAATTGTAAGAGTTTTTTCCTGAAAGTAATATTATTTACATTAGAAAGAAAAAGTAACACCAAGTAGGTCTATGATAAAGGGATATGCACAGACACTAAGTTAAATATTCAATTTTGTTTCTAACATATTCCCAATATAAGATCCTTTGCGAATAAACTCTTCTCACATTTAATTGTCATTAATAATGTTTCTCAACATACATATTCTGCATGTTTCCAATATATTATTAAAAGATGTTTTTAACATCAATCTCATTATGACTATGGTTTGCAAATATAAACATCACATTAAATTACACTTTTTACATATCTTCACAATAATTGATATCTTGTTATCATATCACAAATTTAATAGTGCTGTTTTAAATATAAATATGCATTGGTACATGTATCTTTACATCAGTGAATGTGTGATACCCAGGTATATGCATTTCCTCAAAAATTACATTATTTTTAAAAACTATCTTAGCATTATTTGATGAACATTATCATCAAATTTTGTAGGATTTTTTAAGGCAAGCCTAGAAAACTTATTAAAAAATTTTGATGAGTTCCACTACCAAGAGATATAGTGGGTTCTCAAAATTTGATTAAGTCCCAGGACTGAAACACCTGGGTCCTAAAAGCCACTTATCATTTCCTGTCCTCAGTTACCTGGTTTATCATTATATTGACCCAGTACTACATTTTTTCAGAAAAAAAAAACACTGTACTGTTACAATGGAAATGCTCTCTTCCAAATGGAATATATACTGTTGTTGCTATTCCATCAACAATATAACACTGACTATATATAGCCATATGAGCCTGAAGCATACTGGCCTCAACTTCAGCTCTCAATAAAGTTACTACAAACATATTTCACCTGAACACAAGTCAAAAATTAATGAATACTGTCTAAACATATATTTTTCCACATGAAATTATACCATGAAAATGTGTACCTCACATTACAGTAAGTGCAAATTTCCCCATTTAAACAGATCTCCCATACTAATCGATACACAGAAAAATGATCAATGTTTAATATTATTAGACTGAGCATACAATGATATGTATGAAGAGAAAGCATGTTTTTAATTAAGTGCCCCATTATACAGCTAAAATACTAATTGTTGATGAAATGTACGCAATTATTTGGACATGTACTGTCAAATGACATGATTTTGCCTGTTGAACTGAGCTGAAACATCTGGTATGAACAGAGAGACCAGATGTGACAAGTTCTTTAGTGAAATGTCTAATAGTATCTAATTTTCACTCAATTTTCTAACCAGAAATGCCTTGTTTAAGACTCCAGCATGATGACCATATCTCTATAATATACCTCTGTTGAATAATACATATGTAATTATAGTGCTTGCATCACTTTAGGAACATCTTACAAAAAACTGAATTCTGTACTCAATACAGTATCGGAATATATTCAAACAAAAAAGGCAACTTACATAACAATTGATCCCTCTCATAACATGTATTATAACAGACAAACTAATAAAACATATAATTCAGTATTACATTCAACAACACAATCATTTTCAAACATGGTAAAAATGCATGTAAAATTATTCCAGTAAATTTCCTTGATAAACTGACATCGAAAGGAATAAAGTAAAACACACAATCAAGAAAAGCAACAGAAAGATAAAAAAAATTTAAACCTTGAAAGTGACATAACAATACGTCTTGGAGGAATTAAATACTTAAATATTTTATTAGGGAAAAGACTTAAACTGGTCTGGTCCTCTGTGCTCAGAAAAAGACTAACAAATTTCCATGTTATACCATTGTTATAAAACATTGATATTGTAGCTTTTATTTCTTGGCCCAAAATAATCCTGTTTGATTGACCCAAAATAATCCTGTTTGATTCATCTATGTAATCTCATTAACAACATTGTACTCTTGCAAATAACTGTCATCTTTTGAGACGAAAATGAAAAAAAAAATCTAGGTTATAATGGAATATGTCGGGTAAAAATATATCAACATTTATTGTAATTTTGTGTCAAATACGTGACTACATTGCATTATCTCTACCAGTAACACTCTGGATTTACAGCATTTGAGAGGTACAAATGCTTACTGTGGTACAACCCCCTCCTCCTCCTAGCACCCCTTGAACTTGGTATACAACACATTTCTTATAAGACACATATCATGGAATGGATTGGTAAACATATGTATATTTCCAGTTTGTTGACACCAGTCCTAGTCTCTGTGGGTAAAATTACCAATCCAGACAACTTTCATCTCTAGTAAGAATGTTGCATGAAAGTAAATATCCAGATAAACTTAACATGTGTAGATTTTTTTTTTCACATACATAGTATGTTTCTAAATAACGAAGGCTAATCAAGCTTTAATATTAGTCGATTTGTTTCGGTAGTTCATTGACTCTTATATTTGGGTTAGCCCTAGGATCTAAGAATGGATCATTGTCTGTAGCATTGCGTCCTAGTTTAGAGAAAATCACCACAACCGTTATAAATCCAATCAGTCCAATAATTAGGACAAACAGGAATCGTTTTAACACCAAGTCAGGATCCTTCTTGTGCTTTCCTTCCCGAGACCTTTAGAATGACATAAATATTTACTGTTAATATATCTATTTAAATACTGACTACTTTACATTCTTACATTTCAATATCTATGCATGGTTTTAATAAAATTGTTACAAATTTCTTGGAAATTGATTAAAAAATAAATAAACAATCTTTAAATACAAATAATATCCATGCAAATACAAACAAAATAAAGAATGACATTAAATAATAGCATAATAATTAGTTCAAATTTTCATTACAAAGACAAAAAGTATCATTGGAGAAACACTGCTGGTACCTACTTAAGCCATTTTCCAAGCCATTCCAATGCAGGTCTTCTTTTGTATTTATCTTCATCATGGTCATGTGACATGTTGAACATATTACTTGTGTCTTCCTTAGTTGAATCAAACAATTTTCTTGGATCTACAGCAATGACAACAAAAGTAATTTGCACATATGAATACTGAATTCAACTTAAACCAATTTAAAGTACAACTTTCATTAGTCTATATATTACAGCTATCAACAAATATTTGAAAATATACCTTTTCGTGACTGTTAGATATCAATATTTGGAAGATGGCTAAAATTCATGTTCTCCATCTATGAATGGAATTTGGTGAGCTATAACATGAAGGTGTTGTTAAACGTTCAAACTTTTACACCTGTACAATTCATCATGAAAATGATTACTACTGAATGGCCCCTTGTCCATGCTATCTAGGTAAGTTTCTCACTTCATGCATGTGAAACAACAAAGACTAAAGTCATACCTGTAATACTGTGAATTTTGGCCTTACATCATTGTCTATCACTTCAATTAATTATCATTTATATTAGTCATTTCTGTGGGACATTTTTGGTCTTTTTAATTGCTATGTCAATGATGATTACTTGATAAGTAGTGACGACCATGTTGACACATTACAAATGAAATTCTTCGTCAATTTCAATAAAAAGAAGTGTTGTATGATCAATCTTTTCAATATGAGATTACGTTCACATATAGCTGGAGTTCAAAGTTATTCTGATCTACATGTAACACATGGCAACATTGTAGTCTATGTTAATTTAGTGTTATTTTTGCATATTTACAAATAGTGAAACAAAACATGTTCTGAAAAAGTCATTTATATGTTTTGATAACAATTCTGAAAATATGAAAGGATTTATTTGTGTCTTCATATCTTACCATTTCTTGTGAGATATTACGAATTTCACATGCCAAACAATCAGGCCTAGAAATCTAATTATATGGTATGTTCATCACATTGAAAAGAAATTGAGTCATTGTAGGTAGCATTCTGTTTTGTATTTGTAAAACATTACAAGTACAGTAGTATGTAGTGACTTCCTTTTAATAGTTGTGTACCATATGAAATTGACATGGAAACAAATATTTCAATAATACTAAGATGACTGTACTTTCTATCGATTTATCAAAACCAAACTTTTTTTAAGACCTTTTTCTGTATATTTTCAATAAAACTGAAACATTTCCCCTAATATTTTAAGACTATGAATTATGTTTATTATAGAATTCATTAGATATGAATTGATGACTTTAGAAATTGTCAAGGGAAACAATTCTGTTCATACCTGCTACACCATAAGCTTTTTCTTGTCCTCTTACTGAGGTGCCCGTATCAACATTTATCACACTATGCTGCATCTTTGGTGTCGGAGTCACATGGGCACTGGGCCTTGTGTGGTTCGAGGGACCAGTCGATGTCCTTAAGGGAGGTTGCGAAGAAGATGGTGCAACTTCATTTTTCAATGGTGTACTCTGTGCCATGGGTACTGTTTCTTGAACTATCTGTTGTGTTTCCATGATATTCTCCATTGGTGGTGCAGGGGATGGTGGTGGTTCAGGTTCATTAATCTGAGGTTTAAAATTACAACATCATAAGAATGTAAATCATGAAACACACAGACATGACTGAGCTCAGCTTAAAATAGTTAGCATATGAAACAAGCATTTCTTTATGATGAAAACAGGACAGAAAGTTCAATATAAGACACGATTCTAAATGATCTTCTGTATGAAGGAATAAACGAACCAGCGAAAGTCCAAGGCCTGCTCGTGCCCAATTTACTTGAGATAATATCTGTCGTAATTCTTCAGCCACAGGTGATGCTACATTTTGAGCTGGGAATATCCCAGCATTACATGAAGGACATGTGTAACCAGCAGGGGCAGTGTTAGGAGGCATCTGGTTAGCGTAACGGTTCAGACAGCGCCAATGAAAGACATCTGGAAAAGGACCGATAGGTAAGATATTAAATACATCTGACTACTTCGTGTATTTATCTGGCAATGAGCCTTTCTTTGCTAATAAGCTCACCAATATCTAATTCTGTTTATTCAAGAACAAACACATCTTTCAAACTTCATTTGTTGTGCATGTGATCATTTAGATCTTTATGAAACTGATCAAAAACTCTGGAATTTCAAGGATGCAGTAAACCATATTTTAATGTTCTGTAATGAGCCCATATCCTGATTTTCAGAAATTATTTTTTTTATCATTATTGTCATAAATTCAGTAAGTTGTAAAATAAGGACCAAGGAGTTTCAAGGTGCAATATTGGTATCATGAGTACCTGCCTGTGGTAATACAGTCTACCGGGTAACTTCCTTTTACAGATATATCAAACCAACAGCTACTTCTTATTTCATTCAATAATGCATATAGATGTACTGTAGTGTAAACAGCCAAAAAGTTTTAAAAAGTAGACTAAAATCAAACGGTCTATCTTTCACTGAATATCATCAACTTCAAATCTTAAGAAAGCCAAAGTGTTTATGTCTTCAAAAATTCATATCACAGTTCCAATTCAGTCATATCTCAATATTATGTCAAGGACAGGACCAGGTATTTAGGTTGCCTTCCCTTACAACCAGATGAAAATTGAATATCTAAGCATATCTTAGTATACTGTTAATGTATAGTTACCATAACATGTCAGTCGTACACATTCACTGTTGTCAGCTGCCAATTCCTTGGTACAGAGTGTGCAATCAGGACTGTAATCACTGTCTTGTAACCACTGTAGGTATGACTTGACAATACACTGATAAATAAAAGAAATAATCATGTACATTTACATTTGATTTATTCATTGATTTTTTTTTTTTTTTTTTACATATACACTGGAGTCTGACATTCTATTGATATCATCTAATCTCAATAAATAATTGTTATAAACAAGAACAGTACATCTGATAACCCTAAACGAGACATTCACATAATGAGGAATTAAATTTGTTTATTACCATGCATCAATGCAATATGGGTATTTCAATTTAATCATACAGATATTTGAATTATGAAAAACAAGGGTGGTCAGGTGGTGCACCTTGCCGTCCGGGGTTCGATTCCCGGAATGGATGTGAAAAAGTATGGAGTCATCTGCCCGACCACATGGGTTTTCCCCGGGTACTCCGGTTTCCTCCCACACTAAGACCCCTCGCATGCTTCCATCCGATCCAACAAGAGTGATTTATATAAGTTGGAAAAACTTGCTTCCCAATTGTTGTAAAATAAATAAAGTTTATTATATATGAAAAATAACGTATTTAAACCAAGAAACTAAGCAGTTGAAAACGATGTATAAATATGTATCTTACTGATAAAATCGCGCTCGTTTTTAGACGGTGCCTATACATGTACCCATGTCAGTGATTTTACAAGGATGGGGCTGATGATGCTGCTAGTATATAATTTAATAAATACTAAATATAAATTTGTTTAGTCAGGAGGGTTTCGACTATCTGCTTGCGCTTGTATTTTGTATTTGTTGCACTTACCCCGGGGAGATAATCTTCGGACCAAAAACTGCTTATGGATAAAGCTAGTCAAATTGTACAATGTTATTGTCGCTACTAATACTATGTACGTGTACTGTACAGTTGCATTTATGTTAATCATGACTTACCTTTACATGGTTGGCTACCAAACAATGTTCACAGACGTTCACTCTGTGTTCAAAACAAAATATATTAGTTACTTTCTTTTTAGGACATTTGCAAAGACCCATATTTGTATCAAACAATAATCAACACTGAATTTGTTTGACACATCAAACAGGAAGTTACACGCTGGAACTTCAAAAAAACAAAAAGGAATCAACATCGTACGCCGGTTCCGGATATGCATTTTATAGTAATAAACATACCACTTGTTCAAGATAAACAAGAGAAAATTATCGAAGATAGTTTGTGAATATATTAGAAATTCTAGAAGGTCATCGTTTAGTTTTAAATTAAATAATGAATTATCATAACGTTTCATAAATATGAACGTTTTAAACGTTTGGAAGACTACGACGAGCATAATCATTTAAAGGCTTGGTATCAACAAGGAACACGTGTGGACATTACATATCATCATGTGGAATAAGAAACGAATAATTCCACCCCTAATTTGTAATATGAAGACCATTATAACTGCAAGTAACCAGGGTAAGTTATGACAGATATGGTTGTCAAATTATACAACTCTGATCAAGTTGCACTTATAATTGTAGCCTAACTACAACTTGTGTCAAATGAGGAGTTGATAAAACATATTTTCTTCAATCTATCTGTAAGCCTACGTGCTTAATTAAAAAAATCAAAGTTTCGTTAACAGTGATTGTATTTGTAACATTACATTAAATTAAATAACTACAGTTACTAGCTATTCATAACGGGGAAATGACTTGAGAAAGATACTCGAGACGGTAGGCTGATCAAAGGAGAGGTAAATCGTGAGAGATTGATTAGATCCCAAGTTTAGACATATGCCATACTAATCATCCATATTTATTAGTGATACTGTCGAATTTGGAACCCTAATTTGACATTTTCAATACGTGAATTTGTTAAAATATTGTTATATTCTATGATCTAATGATCAGCCGGAAATATGCCATTCTTTATATTACGGAAAGGTATACATGTACACCTTCTATTTATACTTTCATTTTTGAAAATTTGAAAAAAAGTTTGCAATTATGCTACCTAAAAGGTACAAGAATGCACACACCTGGTGATATTCAATAATTCACATGAAGGAAAATCTTATAGGGTAGAAATAATAACCAACAATACTATTAAATCCAATTTCTACAACAATCTTTTTCTTTCCTAGGACATTTCAAAAGTATGGCAACCATAATGACAAACCTAACTCACCTCCTGTCTGATATTTCTGTCTTGAAGTCTGAGCTACACATCCTTTCAAAGATGATCTACAAGAAGAATTCACAGCGAAGAAGAGAAAAAACATTACAGGGGCTTAAAAGGGTATATGTCATTGTCACATCCTAGAGCTAAGTGTTATTTACTGATAGTATTAATGTGGTTTAATTAATGAATTGTTTATGGATGCATAACCATATGATAATGATTTAAAGTTTGAGACAGGTAGATCTCTTCATATTTCTTTTCTCATCTGTTTACCCCCAGGATGATACTGTAACTCATGAGCTTAAAAATCATACCAAGGAGAAACTCGTGATTACAATATATGAATACATCAATACATTTTTATGTGTAGATTGAATCCTGTGTGGAGAGATTTTGTGCTTTTGAAGATATAAAGTACCTAGAAGATATATCAAGTTCACTGAACTCGTAAGTAAAGAAGATGCTCTTAGTTAATGCTTTTATAGAAATTAAGCTTAATCTGAATGATTAAATACTAAGTCTTTGTTTTTTAAATTATTAATATGTTCAGAAGATAAACTTTTATAATAAAATGTTGTAAGAATATTGACAGCTTTAAATTTGGTGCTTTTTATGTTGTAACCTTTAACTGGACTATAACTGAGCCTAGGAGAAATATTTTACATGTATATGTCTTTATGACTTACTTTGATTCAGAGTAGACCTGAGTGATAACAGTACATACATGCCTTCCAAACAGATGTTAGAGTTTGTCCTTGTAAGACTGATGGGTTTGGCAGCGCTGCTCACCCAGACCACAGCATACTGTGTGCACACATTTCTGTATCCTTCAGCTGTCACTTTATTTAATGTAAAAAACTTCACATGAACTCCTTCAATAACATTCTGTATTTAATATTTGAAGTGCTCTACAAAAGGTAGTTTAATCCAGTTACTGAATAATTAAGAGTTTAAGTACATATATGTAATGCATGGTTATGACCTTTCCGATATAGAAATATACTAGAAAAAATCACAACTATTCAGTTAAGTAAAAGAAAATGATGTCTCTAGTTAAATTTTGGCTTGAAATGACATTTTACATGGTGACTCTGAAATTAAATGACTTCAGTTGTTGGTAAACATATTCTCCTTAGCATACTAACCAGTACTGTTCAACATGATCTGGAGATTGGCATCTTTATCCCACAGTCTCTGCTGTTTTTGTCTGTTATCAGTCGAATATGGTAGGTATTAAAATTTATTATGGAATTGTTATTATACGTATATTATACATGTAGATATTTGTTGTCCTCCTATTGTGTATAAAATGTTTTCAGTCTTCATTGTTTTCATAATAAGAAAATGAAGTATTTCATGGCAGATGGACTGATTCCATCCATCAGTCCCATAGTGAAGAAATAGTCAGATAACTGAATTGACATGAAGATAATTTACATTTATTCTAATGACACTCCAGTTAAAGTACTCTTAAAATCATGTAGCAGGTGTTCTGCTCCGGGTCGCAACATACAAGCACCACAAAGACCGCAGTTCATTACCAAATGGTTTATTCCCAATTAAACCCTATAACAACAAAATAACAATATATTAAAACCAATTCTCAAATTCACACTACCTGAACAAGTTATGAACTTGTCCAGATCGACCACGACCGGTTAACGCACTCAGCACAAACACGCTTCACTATACAAATACTACTAAAGTAAAATACTAAATAACCCAGTCACTATCATACATTACAGAGCCGAAACTTGTACGTTATATGTTACGATACACAATACGTTAAGGCAACAACCCACCTCTTCAAAAAGGGAAGAGGGCTTAAGGGACACAACCTGCGGATGACGGTTTAGCTGGCCACAGAACGAAACAGTGGATCTACAAATTATGCTAAATGATTAGCAAAGATAACAAATAGTTAACTTTCACCAGAATTTAGGAAACAATTATAATGATCAAAAATATATTTCTGTGACATTTTTGACACTATTGCATTTCAACACACCTCCTCTGAATAATGTAAAAGATAACCATGAACTCCAAACAACATGAAATTCAAATTATCAAAAATCGATTCACTCACAATTTAACAGAGCCTATTAAATATAATTCGACATCGATCTTTAGATGAGGATGCAATTAAAATAATTGTAAAAAGTTACTTATTTACAATACAGTCAATATACAACATGATCGGTACATACTATAATTTCCAAACAACAAAGGACGACAAAGGGCCTCTCTCAATAAAACCCAACTGTCATCATTCAAAGTCCACGGGAGTGTGAATTTACCACGCGCCTTGCGCGATGACCACTGGGCAGTCCAATAAAAATAGATTTGCCCTTTGACAAATCACAGACCCGTTTACAATACATTATGAAATAAGACCTACAATTACGTCACACAACACTGGACCGCAACTTGCTCACTTATATTAAAAAATACCTTACAAAGTCAATTTACCAAATTGTACCCTACTACAGTTATCAAAACAATAGATTTTTTACAAACTTCTGAATTTCTAGGGTTTTGAGCAAGTCTACCTGTATCTATATGGTGACATGGTATGATTCATTACAAAAGTGCCTTAATTATTTGGAGCCTACACAAGTTGTTTGGGTAAGTTCAGACAAAACTGGTTAATATTTTTGAATCTTTGATTTAAATTCTATCCTGTTCAGTGTTAGCTTGCTGATATTTTTCAACAGTGACAAGGTATTAATTGTAATGGAAGATTAGTCTACATGTATTTTTTCATACTACTTTTAAATATAAATTAGACATGGTACTACTGAATGTCACCTGATCTCCATATATACATTTGATAATTTTGTCATGTAATTTTCATTTTGAACCACCTTTAGTAATTTCATTGATATTATTTTCAGGTGAAATATTGAAAGGTTATCTTCTGTATTAGTGAATTCAGTGGCAGACTAATATAGATATACACTAGGGAAATCAGTTACTTTTAAATCTGATTTAAGGTGGAGGATTTTTACATGAGTGTCAGGTTTACACAAAAAATGCAGAGCCATCAGATTTAATTATGGAATGCTTTTTTATATGTATTGATCATATATTACATCAACAGCTTGAAGACCCAGGTATATTACCTGTCTCTCTCGGCAAATGGTTAGAGAAGTTTGACAGGAAAACACTTACAGCTGAAAGGTATATACAGAGTTCCTAATTGTTATTTAATGTGAATGTATCTATGGAAATAGAGAATTAAGTCACTACTTATTGATATGTTTTCAACTTTTTTTGTTTTTCTTAAATGTTGCTTGTTTTGTGCTTTGTCAGAATCCAAGTTTTAATGAAGTTTGTAGTTTTACTAAAATCTACAAGAGTTGCTTTTAAAAGGCTACATTTAATATTGGTTACTTACAAGAAATAAACTTGTTACCAAAGTTGATGTAAAGTACAAATTACAGAAAGACAATCCATGCAAACTATTAACGAAACAGATTTAATGAAGTGGTAAATGAGCGATAGTGCAATTGGGGTTGAGGATATGAAGTATTATAATAATTGCGTTTGGCTGTGGAGGAGATCCTTATTGCTATATCATTTTCAGATTAAGTGTGAAACTCATACTATACCTGGTGTGTAAGATTTTACTTCTTGAATACATAGAAAGAATACCATGTATTGTGGTCTCCACGTCATATTTCTCTGGAAAAAAGACATATTTCCAGTATAACCACTATAAAGTGATGTTTGTTGTTTATCATAACATATATAGAGTGCCTATATAATGTTGAATGTTTTGTTATGAAATGCCTCCAGATAGCATGGTCTTTGGATGTTCCTTTTTGGTCATACGTGTAAATATGTAGTATAAACAATATCTCAACATTTGTGATGTTCATTTTTTTTCTTTTTCATTTTCTTTCGTCTTTAAGATTCAAAGATGGTTCAATGTTTTGTTTTTTAAGGGCAACAGCAGTTATGACTGAGTTGGGAACACCCTGCTCTAATCAGATGCTGGAACCTGAATCTCCACAGCAGGCCAAAACACATGGTCAGTTTGGTATTACATACTGTACAGCACCAAGTCCTCTTAACAGACAGAATAGCCAATTCTAAACTGTTGTAGCAAAGATCATCAATATTCTTTTGTCTGTATTACTGTTTTGATATCAGTAATTTGCCCCTTCTGTTTTTTTTTTAATTTTCAATGGAGCTAACTTTGTAGTATAGTGGAATATATCAATTATTTCACCAAATTATTGACTTCTCATATGTATGACATGCTTGAAATGCTGTTTTACATTATCAGTGATCAACCTACAATTCATTTTCATGAGTTCTTTTCAGCTTTAGGCGCCAACAATGTAAAATTTAAGTATTTCCAGAAATTCTGAGTCCCAACACAATTCTACGAATACAGGACTCGGGACTGGCCTGTAGATTTATCACTGTGTATGTGGTGTTTTTATCATTACTATGGTATTATTACACAATGTCATTCCACTGTCCGATGGATGAGATGTAAATGTATTTATGTTTACTTGATGTAGGGTGTGTTGAACTTGATGAAGATCCAAAACCTGTCGAGACTACAGACCAGGAGGAAGACTACAATGACTCGGACATGATCGACGAAGATTTGGGATGCTCAGTTTCCAGAATAGATTTTGCACCAAAAACAAATCCTAAGAATAAAGCCATGAAAACTTTTGGAGATCAAGAAAATGTTGCAAAATTGTCAATGAAGCAAGCAGTCAAAGATTTAAAACTTGTGACTTCTCTGGAGGATTTACTTGAACTTGTGATGAAAACTGACTTTCAAAATAATGGTGATCTACACAAACACAACTGCGTCAAACGTTTACAACACCTAATGTTAATCTCTAAAAAGAGAAAGAAGCAACAAGATGTGGCCAAGTTTGTGAGGAAGGGACAGATATCTGTAAGGAAGTTTTTTATGTTGACTACACGTGAAAACGAAGAAACCAGTATGATTCAGGATAATTTGTCTAAGAAACACCAGAAAGTTGTCAGATTAGAAGAAATGGAAACGTTGCAGGATGTTAGGAAAAATCTTTTGAATTTCAAACGGTGTCGTTCAATTTTCATTCACGGCAGATGTGTTCAAATTGATGATCAACAATGTGCAAACACAATACGGACGGCCTTGAGAAAATGTATTAATCGGTTAAAGAAGAATCCAGATTCTGCCAAACAGTCAATAAATAAAGCCCTGAAAGTGATATCTTCAGCTGTAGTTCAACTTCAAGAAGTTACTGCATGTGAAATAAAGGGAAGGAAAAAAATGAAAAAACAAAAGTTAGAAAGCACTTTGGAGACAGGTAGGGTAGATAAAAAGAAAAGAAAGTTTGAAAAAGGTGAGGCAAAGACAATGGACACTAATGCAGAAAGAAATATAGAAAAGAAGGAAAGAAAGTCAAAAAAGAGTAATACAATGACAGTGGAAGCTAACACAAAACAAAATATAGAAAAGAAGAAAAGAAAGAAGGAAATCGCTGATGGAAAGACCATTGGAGTAAATGCAGGTGGAAAAGTAGAAAAAAGGAAAGCTGATATCGCGAAAACGTTGCCAATTGAAACTGACAAAAATACATTTCGACGAACAAGGAGGGTATCTTCTATGGACAATGTGGATGTGATTCCCAGGAAAAAGAAGAAAAAGAAGTCTTAAACAAGTAAAATAAGAAATTGAAAGAAAATCAAATAATGAGTAAGAAAGCTGGAAAGTTTCTATCTCATTTGGAATAAAAAGACGATGAAAATAGTTATGTAATTATGTTGTTTTAAGATGATTATATATATGTAAGTTCTGATGTTTTATGGTATAATGCACATTTTCACTTTTAAAATTTGTTTCTGCTTCAGTTCAGAATTAGTCAAACATGATCCAGCAGATTGAAAACTACAGAAAAGGAAGTGCATTATATACATGTTACTGCCAATTTCATTGATTAATTTGGTATTTAACAGCTGTAAACACCAATAGAAAAGTAAAACTTGACAAGTTGGCATGAATATTTTCATTCAAAAATTGCCTGATCGCCATCTTGAAAATCCAGTTTAGTTTAGAAGTGAACATCTTCATTATGTTTGAAGAGGGATTTTGTTCAGGTTCATGTATAGTGGTAAGAGATGACAATCTTCCATAGTCAAAATAATGAAATTTGCCAGTGGTGGCCATTTTGGATATTGTTCAAACACTTAATACACCATGCAAATCTAGCATCATTACTGAACTTTCTCACTAAGTTAAAAGAATTTATATTTGATAGGTCTTCAGAGGGGGTAGTAACAAACTTCAAAACTCAAAATGAAAGTAATAACTGGAGCCAAATAAAATACATGGATAAGGTTGCAAGGACATTTATTGTGCAGCTTTGAATTTAAAATCTTCTTCCCCTACACCACCAGACAACATTTAAATAGCTTGTGCAGCCTCGAATTCAAAATTATCTGCCCCTACACCACCATTCCACATTAGAAAGGTCGATCACAAAAATATTATGGTACAAACACAGAGGGATTTTTGTGCCCATTATTGTTTGGTCTTTATTTTCTCTTTGAAAGTTGGATCTTTTCCCTTCTTTTCTCTTCTCTTCTCTGTTTTTGCTCTTAATGATAAGAAATTTTAACAGAAATAGCAATGATAATCTTTACCTGCCAAATCCAAGATGGTCGCCTGGAAGCCATTTTGTGTTTTTGTGATCAGTCCCAAAATCCAATGGTCACAAGTAGATATCAAAGGGAACATACGTATGGAAATTTCAGAGAGATCCATTTGATAGCTATAAGAAAGGGGTATAACAATCTTTACTAAGCGAAGTCCAGGATGGCTACCTGTCTGTCGGCCATTTGATTTTTTTTCTGATCAGTCCCAAAATCAGACAGGTGCAACAAGGGACCAAGAGGAACCTGTAAGTTTGAAAATTTTAAATTCGAAAAAGATTTATGCAGTATTTCATTAGAAATAGCGATAACAAAGTTTCGAATTCAAAATCAAAGATGGCCACCTGTTGGCCATTTCCTTTTTTTCTGATCAGTACCAAAATTGACCAGGCAAACGTAGGGATCAAGGGAAACATATACACGAAATTTGAAAAAGATTTATGTTGTAGTTCTCAAGAAATAGCGATAAACATTTTAAGTAAAAACTCAATATTGTCGCCTGTCGGCTATTTTGTTTTTTCTGATTAGACGCACAATCAAATGGGCACAACAAGGGACCAAGGCAAACCTACATATGAAATTTAAGAAGGATCCATCCAGTACTTCTCAGGAATCATCAATAACAATCTTGCAAAGTCAAAATCCAAGATGGCCACCTGTCAGCTATTTTGGTTTTATTATCAGTCCCAAAATTTGATAGACGGAACTAGGGACCAAGGAGAACCTACATATGAAATCTGAGAAAGACCCATCCAGTACTCAAGAAATAGCGATACAAATTGTCTAAGGATTGACCACGGACGTAGGGCGATTTGAATCAGATGGTGGGTTATTATATGTAACTAGTCTTATAAATCTCGTAAACATTATTTTGCTACTCCCTATCCAATTACTTCTGTTAGTAACCTTGTAAGGAGCTGTAGGCAAATAACGCAAAGCAATCCGGTTCACTGCTTAAGCACAGATGATAATGTACAAGATTAAATAACTTAAGCAGCAATATGTTATAAAATATAAGCAAGAATTGTTAAAAATATACTAAGATTGATAGTTAGTAAATGCACATAAATAGTACACGAAACACGATAACTGTGGGAGGGCGAAAGAAAAGATGCAGAATCAACGTCCGCAGCGGATGGCAGTCAGTACAACTAAAGAATACCCAGGGCGCAAAAAAGCAACCCCTCCATTACAGTATGACGATGAAAAACAATGAAAACGAGACGGACACTGACCAATAAAGGTAGTGTCCATCAAACTATAACCCGGACTTATGAGAACGAGCCCATAATAAAGATAAACAAACGGGCAACCAATCAACCATTTTGAGAAATTTCCCAAAATTACCATATTAACAAACTTCTAACATCAAAATCCAACCGGCCATGAACTGCCATCTTGAATATTTAATAATACTTTGAATGTATGACCTGCGCAAACTCTGATCATTGCTTTTTTTATTTATTTTGTTTAAGGTCCAGGTCATTGTCTTGAACAAACCCGAAATATCAAGACTCTGGGATTTGGTGAACTTGAGAAGTTGTCCAACGTTCCCTTACAGAAATTTGAAAACTTGCAATTATGGAATGCCTATTATTTATTCTACCACAACATACATCACACTTTACAAACTTTCAATATTTTTGCTACTGATCTAAGATTAAGACTCCACACAAGTGGAAGAGGGACATTGATAAGAAACGTACCGATATCAAAAAGGGTATTTTTTATCAGAAGGTGGAAAAAAACCCTTATCACCATTACAAGAATAGAAAACATACCACAAAGAATGAGTTTTTATCTTAACAAGACCACATACAGTTCATGTATATTGAAATAATGGGCATGTAAAGATTAGATACATATCGAAATGATGAACATGTATAACATAAAGATTAGATACATATCGAAATGATGGACATGTATTACGTAATAGATGATGAACATGTATACGTAAAGATTAGATACATATCGAAATGATGAACATGTATTACGTAAAGATTAGATAGATATCGAAATGATGAACATGTATTACGTAAAGATTAGATACATGTCGAAATGATGAACATGTATTACGTAAAGATTAGATAGATATCGAAATGATGAACATGTATTACGTAAAGATTAGATACATGTCGAAATGATGAACATGTATTACGTAAAGATTAGATACATGTCGAAATGATGAACATGTATTAAGTAAAGATTAGACACCTATCAAAATGATGGATATATATTACGCAAAGATAAGACACATGTCGAAATGATGGACATATACCATGTAAAGACTAGACACATGTCAAAAATTATGAGCATGTTTTGTATAAAAACTAGACACATACTGACATGATGCACATATTTCATGTAAAGATTTGACACATGTCGAAATGATTGACATGTATTACGTAAAGACTAGACTTATACCGAAATGATGGACATGTATCATATGAAGACTAGATGACACTGACATTACATAGCAAAACTAGACAGGACGTCGTAATAATAGAAGTATGCATATCTCAATCAATTACGACAGGTTATTCAAATCTTGAACCTTCGGATCAACAACATTAGTGTGTATGATTCATTGTGTTGATTTGTTGATATTTAGGACACTGTAATACATTTAACAAAGGAAAAAAATACTCGTGCCCTGTCCAGGCCTCGAACTTCAAATCGCCTAGCACAGAAATTCTAGACTGCCTAACTATTACTCCAAAATATCCTTGTGGACATTGTTTATATGTCAATACCAGGCAACATATAACGTCGTCGTATATGTAGACATAGTGGGTATATGTTACCTTTATTGGACAACACATTTTATCATCTTTAGATCCAAGAGTCATTGAAGAGAACTTATATTTTATTACCATATATGCATAACATGAACATTAGAAAGTATGCATATCTCTATGTGTTGTTTTGCACAAAAAGATGGAATTAAAAATGTCCTTTAATACCTCTTTTTTCAGAAAACTCCAGTTAGATTAATTATCAAACACATATTCGTATCAATATACAACACCGTAAAATAATACAAAGTAAACCATTGTTATAGAAGTGTTTTCATCGAGCGAATTGACCGTGAAATCCATCACTAAGTGTATGAACTGAAAATGGACAAACGGTGAAACTGACCGTCTCATTCAAGCACGACTCATGTTTACTGTTACATGAATTAATTCTATGAGGTAATTAAACAGAAATATTACAATATGCACATAAAACTGTCTACAAACTAGTTGGATAAATAAAAAGCGCGAATGCAAAAACAATAAAAAAACGAATTTGGAACATATGAGGCCCTTCTTACATGTTACATGTGTATAACTCTGTTATATTTTCTTTCTGATTTCATTCTGTATACGTCATACTGGTAGAGAACACTCATATACATGTAATAGAATACTGACATAATTGCATTGAAATTCTACACAATAGATAATTAAATATATATTTATGTATGCATTTCCATAAAGTACACATCAAACATCATTTATAGAACAAAACTAATAACCTAATCATGTTCTAATATACACATTAACCAACCTTGTATTTTAATTAATCCTCTCACATATATATAAAATAAGATGAACAAAGAGACCTTCATATTTTGATGCCGTGAAAAAATGTAGCCTAGTCAGATATCGGAAGGTACATAAATGTTTAACAATATTTCTTAAAGTATAAGAAACGCATTATACATATGAAATTGACTCTATTTTTATGGCGAAATCTGTTTTTAATGTGAGACAGGCATGGTATTTTACATGTAAACTACAATTCTACGTGTACGTGTTCTTTTCTGCATCTCACAAGTATGCATCGGAATAAGAGTTTTAGTCTAAGGCTGATTATCTTTATATGCAGTATGCATGTTTTGAGCTTTTATCTCACACAAGATTATGATGACACTGGTTTGTGTCCCATTCTTTAGTAGATTACGATTCTGAGTAGCGGATTAACACGTTTTTATACTGCAGACAGAGTACAGAATTGTATTAATCCCACTATCAAAATCTGTTCTCTACTAAAGAACCTGAACAAACCCAAAAATTCAAAAACTGGTTCTGGCATTCGTACAGTCGACGACAACCCTAAGAAAAATAGTGTCGTCTTTAAGGTACGTGTCCGTTTCTAGTTTAGAGTGATGAGCAAAGCACGGCACACCACATGCAACATTCATTTCTGTTGTGGGTTTTTGGAAGCTGTTACTCGTTGCATTTGGCAGGAACTGCTCGGCGACGTGTTGATTGGTTCCATTTTGGTCCAAAAGTTTCAAAGTAACTGGTAGTTGGAAAGGCCAAGGCAAAAGTGCATCAAAGTCGCCTCGCATCACAACTAGGAAGAAAGAGAGAAAGAGACCCTTTCCAGCCCCGTCACCATTCAGGTAGACGCGTCCACAAAGCTTGTATCCGTACCTACTGGTATAAAACGGCTGACTATACAGAGACAGGGTTTTCCCGGATACGGCTTCACGTTTTCGTCTGTTGTATTCTCTGATTTTCCACATCAGGACACCGTCGAAGTTAATCGTTTCTTGTAGTTGAAGTCTCAGGTCTAATTCACAGAGACGAATATCCAGCAGCCCAACCTGCTTCTCCACATTCTCTATTTCTTTAGAGTTTCCACCTGTTGAAAAAAAGTTATTAGTACAGTTATCAGTGACATTTTGTCTCCGGTACCACAAAGGATATCTAACTTTGGGTAGAAGAATCAAACTGATACCAAGAAGATAAAAGGACTTTAAAATAAAATATAAAAATAAACAACAACAAAAATCAATCAATGAGAATTTTTAAAATATCTATTTTTCCTTTAAAAATTAAATTCGACACAATGAGGAGACACCTGTGTTCATGTTTGAAAATCTCACACCTGGCTGACTAGCCCAACATTCAACAATTTTGGCAATGATGTCAACGTTTCAGTTTTTGGGTGTACAAATGACAAAGATTACTCGTCAACATAAATTGAACCTGGACTTAATTGTGAATAAATTGAAGCTCATATTTAATAGAATTGTACACTATATTGATTGTAAGGCACCATTTTAACTTAATTTAATGCGGAATCACATATATTCAGCAACGCATGTTAACAAATATTGGTTATGCATTTTAAAATCTACTTTAAAGTTATTAGATTATGTCTCCGTTATAGCTGGCTGGAATATGGTATTCTGATTGATCTCCGAGTGATTACGTACCCCCAGAACGACCTGCTTGAACTCCACCTCTATGTTCTATGTTGGTCACTCTCTGGTTTGTTGCTAGGACTGTATCCTTCATCGTTATCACTTCCTTTTTTAGTTTATCAACGGTCTCTACGGACGCTTTGTCTTCAAGTAGGCGTCCCGTCTGTATAACCTTTTCTCCATTGCTTGCCAGAAATTTCTGTAAAACATTTTAATACATTTTGGTTATATTTCTTAAAATAGGTAAATGATGGATGCATTTCCGGAGTTTTACATTAATTTCAATGTAGTGAAACTCCTAACGTTCTTTAATCACATTACTTGTTGATATGTTTCATTTGCAGCACAAGGTAAAAAGTTCTCTCGTTGTTATGTTTTATTTGTCCCCATCGTTGTGTTAGGATATTCTCTGATAACGTCCGTAATACAACTGTGTACACCGTTACCTTCGTTGTTTCAGGTTATTTGATGCATGTTAAGTATAGTATGACGATCGTTTGAGAACGTAGATTGACCAAATGGCGGATGTCCTTGATGATTTTATTAATTTTTACTGATTTCATTTTGGATTATGTTGACATGTTGGTATTTTCTTGTCCTTTTTGTAAAAAGTTTTATTTAGAAAATTCGCAGCAATAGTTGTTTCTTTTTCAGTTCAAAACAGCTTCCTGGAAATAAAGATTTCTTAGCTCTCACAAAAAAACCGTATGTTAAAATCACAGGTACGAGAATCAGAATAAATTACCTTCATTTCCTGAATCGATATTTTATTTGCTTGTGTCTCTTTTTGTAGCCTTTCGTTTTCCTCGATGAGTTCGGGAATTCTTGCATTTTCCCGTATGACTTTATCCATTGTTGTCTGAAATTCACAAATGATAATGTATGCCACGTTGTTTAAAAATTAATAGGGAACTCGTTAAAATACAATGCTTTATATATTTACCATAGTTTATTTATAGTTTACATCCAAATTAATAATGACGTCTACTAAGAAATTTGAAAGGTGGCTGATGCCGAGTATTGTCAGTTTTAGTAACCAGAATTACTCAAGAAAAAGTACCATTCGTAATTCAATAATGAGACAGTGATATTAGGAATATCTGTATGCCATTTCAACCTGACATTTAAGGATATCCATTTTTACAACAAGTAACAAAAACATTGCCGTTGTTGTTTTTTCTGCATGATTTTGTTCTTTTCAAATATGTTACAAATATATTTCCTATGATAAAAAAAACATATTGTCCTATTAATTAAGAAAATAACACATCAAAGCAGGACAGATGCCAAACAATCAAGCAACGGTTTTATAAAAAAAAATCCTGGTAGAGCGATATTTCTTCAACTGTAAAAATACAATAATGTATTTAATATATCAGAATAGAAACAAATCAGACCACCGGTGACCTTTCCATTAATAAAAAAAACGTTTTATTGGTCAATACCTGGTGAGTTACAGGTGTATTTCAATGTATTTAATACCTTCAATTCTAAAAATAAGGATTCATGCTGTTGACTGGAACGCTTCATTGTCATGTCAAGATGTAATGAAATCATGTCCTTCTTATGGATGTCCAATTGGTCTTTGGTTCCCTACAGTGGAATTCGTGAACATTTTAAGACGTGGTGAAAGATCGTAACTGTAATGAACAATATTGACAATACACACAAATATTATTAATTTACTGTATAAGTAAAGACAAATTATCAAATCGGAATAAATTAGTATAAATGATTTCTATCCAATTGAACAAATAATTTATTTGCAGTATCAAGTATAGAATAAGTGTCTTCAATTAACAATCAATCTATCATCTTATCGTTCTTAAAGTACCATTCGTTTATTCTATTAGTGTCCTAAACTCATCATTATTTAACTGTATTAGCGTCCTCAGATTCATCATGGTGTCGTCGATGTAGCAAAAGACTCTTTCAGGACACCTGGTCATATTTTCCTTGTACATTTCAGCAGTATCCGAGTAAAGTTTTTGTGTACATTTTTTTTTCGCGTTACAGTATTAGCATTAATGCAAAATATCATTTATGCATAGCAACAAATGCATTAGAGGCTTTGCAAACAACTGTATGTGACGCAGTTTTTCCCATTATTACTGCTCATTCTAGCGATACATATATAAAAACACGTATCAAATAAGCCTTCTGCTATCAAGATTCTCAAACAAATTCAGAGAATTCAATTACAGTTAGGATCTGTATAGCATTAATGCCTTCATATATATGTGATGATCTGGTATCATTGAGTACATGTTATGAACGCACGCAATGGAAGTCATGATTAAATATGTATAATATCCGAATAATTTCTTACCTCAAATGTACATCCGTGCTTAGAAAAAGGACATACGGTCTTTTTGAGTGGACACTGGATTAAGTGATCGTTCATCTAAAGTAAAATGATTTATGTGAACATTTAAACAGGTACATGTACATTGTTTATGCCTAAACTATTTTGATGTAAATATGTGATATTTTTGTTTTGCATTTGTGATAGCATTCTCAGGAACTTGATTTCGCTTTATTCATTAAAACATCTCAAAATAAACAACCCAGTAAGCATTTTTACTACAACAAATTAAAAATGTTAAATTTCAGAAAAGGTATGCTTTCGACTTTTGTAGATTGATATCAATTTATAGAAATGCGGAAATAATTTTAATTTCTCTGAATTAGCCCAAATCAAAACAATCGCAAAATATCTGTACCTATATTTTAATCAATATTCTTTGGTTCAGTGATAATCCTATTTTATGGCTGAACGTATTGTGCTAAAATGCGATTGTACTAATTACCATTTTTAAGGTTGTTTGCAAATCAATAGTTATGAACGTGCAAATTAATAACGCTCGATTTGCTAAAAAATTATAGACGTGTTTTAAATTTGATTGAACCAAATTAAGTATGTTAACGGTCTTTCTTATTATAAAAAATACATAACGTGCTGGCTTAAATCCGACAGTTCTAAAATCTTAAACGTTAAACGATCTTGTTTGCTACATTTACTTTATAAGTTTGTGTAATCAAATGTTTTTCTAAAATCACATATCAAGCAACGCTGAATCTCTCAATAATGCTATATTCAACATATCGGGTATCATTTTCAATCAATACAAACCTGCTCTCGTGGCATGCCCTGAACTCCGCATTCGTTTGGACAGTTTAACGGAACCTTCCGGCATACAGAGCTCTGATGATTCTGTGTATCAAATATATGTTTGTTACGCCAATGCCTAAAAGTCTCTTATTAATACATCTTTCAATTTACCACATTTCTGTCTTAGAAATTTTCAGTCGTGGTTAATAATACTTTTCGATACATGTAATCATTACGAACTTGTAAGTAGTTATATTGAATGTATATGAATGACGTATACGAACAGTTGAGTTTGACAAATGTAATGTCTGTATCTATCTAAAGACCCTCTCTTCCACAAGGAACACGGAGATTTAGAAAAGTCCAAAAACACTGGTTACTTCAGTAGTTGTTTGAAGATCCAATCCTCGTGACATTGCGCGTTCATCTAAAATTTATGATAGCCCATATCCCAGAATGCTAATTTCAAAATCTCACCAACCTTAGTAAGAACAATTTATCCCATCATACACTTGTAACCATGAAAATTGGTAATGGCCCTGATTTGAACAAATTCAGTCGTTTTAGACTTTTCTTTTTTTTTCAAATTATCCCTAAACCCTAATCAAGGTCATCCATTGATCAACTTGACAGGTATTAAACACTGTCACCTTGTTGCCAATCATTATTATACTAGAAATTTAACTTATTCATTACAAATCTTTTGAAGATTTTTACACGTTAGACATTTGTCAACCTGAAAGTAGTTTAAGCTTATTCATTCATAAGTACCTAGCAACCCATCCTCTTGGCATGCATCTCGCACAATATTTACAAGACAGTCTAGATGCCAGTACCGTAAGTATACTGGGTACCACAGTTACAAGTTCATTCAGTTGTTCAACATTCACCTTCGTTTGATCTATCTTTCCAGTTTCCTGGATTATTTCGATATAATATTTACCTCAATATCCTTCATACTGATATTTTCTAGACAGTAAAAACACTGAGTCTCTCTATATTCACAAGTCTTGGACATGTGCTCCTCCAACTCTGACAATAAAACGGCCTGGCCACATTTATCACAGTGTTTTCCTTGAAATCTACATGTGGCCATGTGTTTCTACAAATATGAAAACAAGAAGTGATTATGTTGGAATCCCACTGGTACTTGGTACGTTCAGTATGTTTTCATGAAGAATGTTGATTTTACGATCTTATTGACAGGTAAAAGCTGAAATTCTGAATTTCTCTATCGGTAATTTCAGTAAAATTGCAATCTAAAACAATACAGTGTATTATGACGTTATATAGAACATAATATACATATATCATTTTCGTTCATCATTCCTGATATCAATGATTTCCAAGTATACAACAATATATATAATTCTAATAATTCAAGCTTTTTGCCCCCCGTATCGAAAGATTGAAAGACCAGGAAGAAAATTACACCAAGTGACCCTGAATATGACATTTGACCTACTTTATGAAAAACTTAAAGAGATAGTGCACTGCTATTGTTTTTTAATATATTTAAAATCCTTTTAAAATTATAAGATAGCTACAGCAAGAACGAACTCTGAAAAATAAATACTCATCGAGATATTTAACGTTGTTTGAAAAACACACCTGTACGGATTGGGCATTGACCCCGTTTTGAGTACACACAGATCTGTGACGTCACAAGGTGAACACATATACCGCGGGTACGCGAGTCAGCCATATTTATTTACATACAACTGAAGCGACCGAATGATTTTATTTCGTGTTTGACAGTGGATCTGGTGTATAATTTGTTTAATTGGGGACAACAGATAATCGAGGACAACGTTGAGACTTTACGAGGTTTCGCAATGAGCGAAAATAGGAAACGAAGTGTAGGTAAGAGGTGTGTGGCATACGGGTGTTCAACAAAGTACGGCGATGGGTTTGCCCTTCATTTATTCCCTACTAATGCCGATCTGTGTAAGATGTGGACAAATTTTGTACAAAAGAAAAGAGACAAGTGGGACGGTCCAACAACGTACTCGGCTCTGTGTGAAAAACACTTCGAAGATGGGTCATATCCTATGAAATACGCCATTCTTCGATCCATGGGTCAAACTCCCCCCAAGAAGAAGGTTCTCAATGCCGACGCTATCCCCACCATACAGACGGCAGTTCAAGCTGAGCCCATGGATGATGTATCCCAACTTGCGTCCCCACTGTTTGCGTCAACACCAAAACCAAAAAAGCCCAGATCCGCCTTCATGAAACGTCAAAACAGAAGGGTACGTATTGGGACGGATTGACCTAATGTAGGCATAGTTTTATTCAATGTTTTGAAGATCTGATTTTTAAATCTACATAACATTTTCTATATGCCTAGGTAATTTGAACAAATTATATATTAAATATTAGTGTCATCTACAAAATTGAAATGTACTTATATATTTTATGTATTTTTTTTTATTTATTTTTTTTTTTGGGGGGGGGGGGGAGAGGTTGCTTGGATTGACAAATAACTCGAGATAAGCTTAGGTTTTACATTTCAATTCTACGTTGACTACTATATTATGTATGTATTTAAACCAATTGCACATAAATATGTCATTCAGTCAATCTGCCCTGACAAGTATTGAATGGTTCATATTTTCATTTTTCTTACAGATCATCAATGAGATATTGATTGATGGCCAGACAGAAGACATCAGTGGCGAGGAACCCATGGACACCGACCAAGATGACACTACCCCTACAGTTTTGGAGGTATGAATAAAGAGTCAATTTTATTCCCCCCCCCCCCCCCCCCCCCCCCCCCCCCCCCCCCCCCCCCCCTCCCCCTATGAAGAAATGAAATTGTGAAATATGGTACACAGTTGATATTAGATTATTAAACTTCATAATTAAAAAAAAAAACCTGCGTGATATTGCACCAAATACTATGGTATAATGTGGTACCGGTATATTATTTTTTTTGTGGTACCCAATTCTAATCAATATCATGCCCAAAATACATACATGTTACTGTAGAAAACAATAACTTCAACATGTTGTATATTTCATTCAGACACCAACAGTACAGAATGGCAGCTGTATTAGCATCAGTACTACTAGGACATGCGGGACACAACTGGCTTTCAAAAAGCCCTGTGCAAGAACTGTACGAGTACAAGTTACGCCATTAACTAAAGAAAAGGGTAAGACAATGCACAATACATACAACTTTATTGAAAAAGAAAACAGTCACATAATTTTTTTTGCAATTGAGATACTGATGTAGCAACCCTTCAAACAAATAGAAGAGGCCGATTGTAATACTGCTTTCTGAGCTTTATTTTGCCAATTCTGAATCGGTGTTCAATACATGTTTGACCATTGGTGCATTTGTATCCAGATCCTATTTTGTTTTTAAACTCTGTCATATTAAGAATTTGTATTTAATAATATTTCAAAAAAATGTGAATTTGTATTTAGCTTATAAATTTTGCATACATAATTATATTAATTGATGTCATTATTTTGTAACAGGATGTCAAACTACCAATAAACCAAAGATGAAAAATGTTGAGGTACAGTGCAACATCCTGAAGCCAGCCAAAGACAAACTCAACACCTCTGTGACATCAGATGAGCTGGACCAATCATGGATATCGTCAGCCCATGGAAATGAAGCAGATGACTCGGACTACCAGCCTTCAGAGTGTGAGTCGGATGTTGGCTCAGAATGCTTGAATGATGATGACAGGTAATGAACAAATGTTGGTTACTGTACAATTATGATTATGTACTTACAATCGATCATGTTTGTCACTTTGTTCATCTTTTTTTCTCGCTATGCGGAATTTGTTTCTTGACATCTTGGAAATATTCCATCAATCTGATGTTGATTCTAGTTCAACATTTTAGGTATTCATAATTGGAAAAAAAATGTGAGAGGTCTTTCCTGATATGTAAAGAGTTGATTGCAGCAAAATGTTTTATAACTTTAAAAAAAATATTGAAATATTTGTCCATTATTAAATACTTGAAATATACCGGTGTAGTTATAAATTGTACAATTGTATTTGGGAAACTACAAAGAAGTCATATCCTAGATTTCAGATGAAATAAGCTATTTGTCAGCTATTATAGTTTGAATTGAGATTGATATGTGATGAGCCATCTATAATAATCTTCGTTTCACTTTTCAGGACTCGGAAAGAAGACAGACTATACCTTGTCAGTGAACAGAGTTTGATGAGCTTGTTCCAGGTTTGTCCACAGTGCTCATCACCCTCCCTGGGGAACATAATAAACAATGTTGGGACTCTTATAAAAGTCGAACAGGACTGTGGTGTGGAAACTCATTCTTGATGTGTTGGATCTGTGCAATTTCAGTGCAACAAATACTTTCAGGGACTGTTGGCATCTCTCGACAGTTTTCACATTTGCACCTGTAAAATAGTCATTCTGAATTATGTTTAACGCATAAGCATTGTTAGAGATTGTTATTGGAAATTGCATTTGTTATTGAAAGTTGTTTGGTATTGAAAGTTATATTTGTTACAGAGTAGTTCTACTCTAAAACCAAATAAATTCCCAGAAATACTGATTTTTTGGATTGCCCTTATTTTTTTTATTAGATATTCTAGGTGTTATTTCATGTGTTCATCACATCAGTCAAAGGATATTTTGTCAACAGGAATATTTATATGAAATAAAGTTGATTTGTCCTTGTGAAGGATTAAATATAACAAAAAAACACTAAAACATAATCTGTGTTTGTCCCAAGTGGTTTTGCAGCTTCTCCATGCTGCTCTGAAGTCTAATCTGTGTTTACTTCCTAGTTAACTTATTTGCTCCAAGCAGAATTTAGTAGTTTTCAAATGGTGTAGATGGATTTTAATATTTATTTTTGAGCAGATACAACTTCCTCTGTCAAGATGCTCTGGATATTTTCCCTACAAAACTCACCAAACAACATTACCATTGGTACACAATAACATATTTTGTAGAGATTGAGATCAGGCCTATATATATTCTTATTGACAGAATAATTAATATAATAATAACTGATAATTTATAGATGGAAAAATATATACTCAGTATAGATGTTAGGTTAACAACATCGCATATCCTTTATGGGCAAGCCGACCAAGTTCGTAGTGACGAGATTACTCGTCCAGCGATATAGTTTTATGTTGCCTGGTTAAGTTATGTTATAATATACATGAAGGCAAAGTTGACGGTTCCGTTTAACGAAAATTTTAAGGCTCAATAAAAATACTTTGGCCATTAAAAGGCCGTAAGTATCAAGGTATTCTTATATTGGGCCTTAATATAGGTCTACGTACCATTCGGTTGAGCCCAAGCGGTCCTCGATTGCCGATGGCGGATTGCCGCTTTCTTCATCGTCGTCACTTCCTAGCTCTGGCTCAAAACGATAAGGTCGAATACCTTCAGAATGCTCCACTTCAAAATCAGAAGAAGAGTATCCCATATGAAGGTCGCAATCTGATTGTGAGTCTTCTGTCCCATCGCTTCCACTATCGCTGTAGGCATCCATGTTGAATGTGTTCACCTTGTGACGTCACGATTTCATGTGCACTACACTACACACATATCCGCTACACTCTGATTGGCTTTACCAGTCAGGTGCAAACTGGGATGATTGACAGGCCATATCATCGGTCGTAGTGAATCAATTTACATGCGGTTTTCGACATTTTCTTATTTAGGTGCT